TATATTTCAGAAAGAGCATATCGATCAAGATCGAAGTGGTAAGTCGTTGTGCTTTTCTGTAAAGTCGATATCATCGTTACAAACAAAGATACATAGTGGGTTACAGTAAATGTACGACCATTCCTCTTTATTTACTCCTCATTAAGGAGAAACGTCAAGAGTACTTAATATATAATATTGTATATTTTTATATTCAAAAAGTGGTGTTAATCCGATGTGGATACTTAAAAATTCCAAGGTACTTTAGGACAATTTGAAATCACACGATTTCATTAAAATATACAGCTTAAAACGCATGATTTTTCAACGCTATGCACAACCATTCTCTACGACAAATTAAAGTCCAGGTTTTTCGATATTATTGACAGCTGCTTTTTTAATATAAACATGATTAACGGAAATCTTTATTTTGCTTACCTTGAAATAGGTGATTTGCAAATTCATTTTCTTAAACAACATTCCGATTGTACACACAAGAACTCTGAAGTTGATATCAAAAAGATGCTTGAGTTACTGATTGAAAATATCTATGTTGTTTTTTGGAGACCAGATCTTCCAACAATCTATAGAATTCCCATGGGTACCAATTGCGCCCCATTATTAACACGTATTTTTGTCTTCATATAAAGCAGAATTTGTACCTTATCTTATTAAATTCGCATTACAAATTGCACTTCAAATGTCAATAACTTTTATATGTCATAGGTAAAAGATATGGAAATAACGAACAGTTTTAATATCAAAGTCCATAAAAACAATACAAAAATAGGAGCAGAGAAAACACGGACCTGTAATCATGTTGAGTTTACATTGATTTTTCTTTGAAAGCCACGGAGATACGAGAAGTAATAGTATGTATTCACAAACCTGTATAGTAAAACCTTTGCGAGCCCGCCTAATTGTCTCTGAGATCCCATGTTTTCATGGAATATATGGAGATAACGAACAGTATTTAAGATCAAAAGTCCATAAAACAATATAAAATCAGAGCAGAGCAAACACGAACCTCTGAAACATCAGAGGTGAGATAAGGTGCCATGTAGAAGTGAGCATCCCCTGCCGACCGGTCACACCCGCCGTCTGCTCCTTGTCATGATCAGGAAATAACGAAAAAAATCCGTCGTCAATTCAGTGTATCAATAAGGTACTAACAATCAGTATTAAACACACTAGTTGTAGCCTTCAGCTCGACATTTAGATATCTAGACGATGTATTGTCAATTAACAATTATAGTTTCCATTCCTGCGTCGATACAATATATCCTGGTGAGCTTGAGATAAAAGATACCACAGATTCTGACACATCTGTTTCATACTTTATATTTTATTTGAAAATAACGTTTATGGTAATCTAACAACCAAACTATATGATAAACGTGATGACTTTAACTTTTCTATCGTCAACTTCCCTTACTTATGCATCGATATACCTTCATCAACTGCACAAGGATAACCGGAGTGTTTATATCTCAGTTGATTCGATACGCAAGAGCATGCTCTACGTATAAACAATTTCTAAACAAGGTAAATTATTGACAAGCAAGTTGATGAAAAAATAATACCAGCAGTCTCGTTTGAAGGCTTTATTTCGTAAGTTCTAGGGTCGATACAATGACATTGTCAGCAAATACAGTTTATCAGCGAGTCAAATGCTGACAGACCTTTTTCATATTAATTGTTAGTCCATTATTTATAGACTGAATTGATGACGGATTTTTCCGTTATTTCCCGATCATAACAAGGAACACACGGCGGGTGTGACTGGTCGGCAGGGGATTTTCACTTTATGGCACCTGATTCCACGTCCGATATGTTGTAGTCCGTGTTTGTTCCGCTCCTATTTTTTATTGTTTAATGATTTTTTAGCTTGATTTAATAGTGTTTTTTATCTCCATATCTTTCAATTGCAAACTACATTTGGTAATATAATAATTAAAAATATCCTGAAGCAAACTTTGGATGAAATAAGGCGATAAAAAACAGTAGTAACCAAGCTCAGAAGTCAATATGAAAAGCATTATTCAGCACTTGACCAAATCATAGACTTTATTTGCTGATAAGCTATTTTATCGAACAAAGACATGTCAAATGATTACTTTAAACGACTGGCGATATTTTTGTTTGTTTGCCAATAGCTTGTCCCGTTTTGTAGGTTTTTTTTTATTATAGTGCATGCCCTAATGCATATCAAATCAACTGAGCGACATAAACCTCGTTTGCAGCTCATAGGGGTATATGGCTATATAATAAGTAAAAGATCTTTGCGATAGAAAGATGTATAATTTCACGTTTATTATGAAGTTTCGTTAGGTTACCATTAAGTTAAACGTACTTGGTAGAACAACTGTATATGAAATTCTTGTCTTATTTTTGTATATATGGTCTGGAATTTTTTGACAAATCTCTACTTCAGTATACATATGTAATCAGCTTGTTCAAACAATCTTCCAATAATTAAAACAAGTTTCAAAAAATGTATAGTGTTTGTTTATTAATAATATATACATGATGTACTGAAAAAAAAACTCAACTACTTTTAGATTAGATATATTTATCATTATAATGGTATACATATTGTTATATATAAAATGATGAAGATTTCTGGACTAGCTTTAACGTAAAATAAGCCTTTACTGATTATATATGTTGTACAAAATCTATGTCAGAGTGGACGTTCATCGCACACTTATTTTGATGAGATTCCTTAAAGCTGAGTAAGTTCTTCAACCCGTCTTGTTCATATGACTTTACAATGTCATGAACAGCGGCTTTAAATGCTTGTAATATTGCAAATGGATTTAGATAGTTCAATATTCAACTAAACAGTACAAAATAGGAGCAGAGCAAACACGGACCTCTAAAACATCAGAGGTGTGATCAGGTGCCATGGAAGAGTGAGCAGTCCCTATCGAACGTTGACACCTGCCATGTGCTCCTTGTCATATTTGGGAAATCACTGGAAAAAATCCGTCGACAATTCTGTTTGTAAATAATTGCCTAACAATACGTATGGAAAATGTCAGTCAGCATTTGACTAAGGCCATTGTATCGACCATAGAGCTTACAAAATTATTACTTTAAACGAGACTGCTGATATTCCTCTTGGATCAACTTGTTTGTCAATAATTTAATCATTTTAGAAAGTGTAATACGTAGAATATGTTCTTGTGTATCGAATCAACTGAGCTATATTAACAACGTATTCCGGTGATGAAGGTATATTGCTGCATAGTTAAGGGTAGCTGACGATAGAGAAATAGATTTAATGCAGCCAGGAGGACCGGGCTGCTCTATACATATAAGTTTAAGTGTTGGTGTATGGGAATTGGGGTGGGAGTAGTTATTTAGAATTAAAGGTTTTCTAAACATTGAAAAGATTGTTAACCAGAAGTTCTTTCCGTTTATAAATTACGAGACACATAATATATTTACTTCCATAAAGTGAATCTGTAAAAATACATACGTTTTTTTTATATTTAATATATAAAGTTGCTTATCTTTTACTATAATTAGAACATCGAATTTTACTTCTTGCATGAAAACTTACTCTGCACAGTTCGTGTTTTATATTCTAAAATTGAAAATTAATATATTTTTGAGTATAGGTGATGCATGTGTCTAACTTCAATTTATATTTTATATATGCAGCCAACATTTACTTGAGGAATAGATCAAGTTTAAAATTGTATCGTTTTTGTTTGATTTTTATCCGACTATAAGTTTTCAAAATATTCGCGACTATCGTCTCTATCAATTATACTCATGCCTTTTCACACATATCGAAGCGGTTTGACGATCAAGACTCAATTTTATTGCTTACTTGATATATTTCCCGGGCGACAAATTGATGGTAACATCAATGTTTTCTTGTCAGACTATATGGTAACTTTAATCTCAAGCTCACCGGTATAAATGCTATACAGGTCAACAAACTATTTAAACTCACATGGTTTTTCGCACAAATTAAGGTCACATTGTTATAATGCAAAACTGTGTATTGTGACAGCAAAATATATTTTAAAATAGATTTATAATTTAATTTTGCATAATTCACACATAATATTTGATAGAATTTTTATATGCTGTTGGATGATATTTATGGGAGATTCCAGTTGGTTTTTTCACGGTTTCTCTTCAAATGCAACCGTCTTTGTATCCGTGTATTTTTAAGCATACCTTTGCCTTGCCTTTATACAGAAACAGTGCACTTCGTGTAACTTCTGTATTTTATGTACATCAATATGACACTAAGACGCGAGATGATAAAAGTATTTATCATCTGTTAGACTGCTTTCCATGTTAAAAAGATGGCATTTTTTAGGTTAACTTCTTGGAATCTAGCATCATGAAAGATTCCTTCTAACGCAAAATTTCAAAGTTTCAGACCATAAATGTCAAAGAATTTTCTTTTCAATATTTACAAATTACTATGTTGAAAGATAAACAATACTTTATTATCCTATGCTCTCACATCATTTCTTTATGCAGTTTTATCATTTTTCGGCGCTGCATTTCGACAAAACCAAGGAAAGTATGGGAAATGTGCGAAGTACCTAGAAAAATACGCATCTCTAAGAAGTCAATTTTAACATTTTAACCAAATTGTATCAAAGAAAGTTCGATTAATTAGTATGTGAATACCTATGATAGAATCATACACATTTTACAGCATACAATTTATAAAATATTTCCCTTTAAGAACAATAACTTTTAAAACTTAAGATAATGATTTTTAGAGAATATGCACCTTTAACATGAAATATCTAAAAATATAACGGTTATGTCTCACACTGAACCTCGATAATTTTAAGTTTTATTGCAAGAGAAATGTGACTTTATTTTGTGCGAAAAACCACGTGAGTTTAAAAAGTTTGTTGAGCTGTATATGAAAATACGAGTAAAGTAGATTAGTGAATTTCTCTGCACTAATTATAGCATCTAAAACATTTACATTTATTTCCCTAGATGTTTTAGCATTTCCTTGTAAAAAAAAAATAAATATGGAATCTATTGGAACGTCACAAATGTAAGTTTGCTTGAAAGCAATATAGATTACACGTAAAGGTATAATGTCTGAAACAGTATATTTTGTTGACAACTGTATATACCATATAATAACTAGGCTTGGGGCGAATTACATTGAAAGTAATGCATTACCAATACCATTACTTCAACAATTTGGGCATTAAATTACCATTACCATTACTCTATTTTCTTAAAGTAATGCATTACATTACCATTACTTTAGTAAAGTAATGCATTACCATTACCATTACATTTGGAGGTTTTTAAAAATAGAATTTTATACAAAACTTTGCGATTTTCTTTTTATAAGTTTGTATCCACCCCTTTCAAAATTAAACATGATAAATGATAATTCAAATTTGATTTCAAGTTTTTGTATATATATTACAATGTCATTAACTTACAATCAAAGAAAGTTCAAAGCTCTGAATTGTCAGTTTTATAACACATGTACAATATCCACGTTTTGTTTAACTATTGAAGTGATGAAGTAATTTAACTTTTGGGTCACTTTAACCCCTGCCTAAAATATATAATAAAAAAGCATATAGGCGCGTACACTATTTTGATTTGTACCTATGAAAAAAATAAATGCAATGACAAACTTTTTGAAATAGTAGACAGGATGTACATTTTGATCTGCTATTAAAGCACAGTGAAGCATAGAATGCCTGCATGGCTTCTATTTTCTTTGTTACATATACAATGGATTTTTCATGGTCAGTACATGGCAAATCAGGTCAATTTATGTTCTATAAACACAGTCAGGAGAAAAGGACTTGTAATTTGGAGCACTTCTCCAAAATATGCATTGTTAATTGTTACATAACCCAGAGGCCTAGTATGTTTTGGTGACACTCTAGCTATTCAAAAGATACCAATTATCATTTACAGTGACGAGTGTACATTGATTAGTGTATCTCATATGCGATTTTTGAAAAAAAGATCTTTTTAAACTATTTCATATAATTCTTTGAAATCAATTCTTACCTTAAATAAGTTTGAAAACTTAAATGTAAGGTAGGTAAATTTTCAACAGAATAAAAAGTGCATTTAAATAGATACAGAAATGTTATCTAAATAAGTTAACATTTTTATTCAATAGTATCATTTGCATAAGAAAATAGAAATAAAAATAAATAAATTAAATAAATAACCTAAACAATAATTCCCATCATCCATATCAACTTAAATTTCTTAAAATAGGTACTTATCTTACAAAATAATTCTGTCTAATGCTATGTAATGCCAGCATTACACTGGATTTTATGAAGTAATGAATTACATTACCATTACATGTAATGCAAATTTTTGGGCATTACACATAACTAGCATTACTTTGAGTTCATGTAATGCATTGCAATGCATTGCCATTACAATTAGCATTACCCCAAGCCTGATAATAACACATGGCACAAAACAATCTTACGTTTAGTTTCCTTCATTTTTTTTCAAAAATTCAAAATAAGTTGAAAACAAACTAAATCGTAAATATAAAACTCTTTATTTTATTTTTAAAGGGAATATATATACTTAACCTTTTAAAGGTACTTAGACACAGATTTGATGTTAATATTTTCGGAATGGTTTCAAGACTTAACTGTTGATATAGCATTTCATAAAAATATAATAAAAACCTTTTTTCTGAAGTTATTGTTACTTCGGATTATCATACTTAAAAAAAATCTTTTCTCTTAATACTTAAGCAATTTTGTAGAGTATTGATGAAAAATATAAATACTATAATCCAGAAAATTCAGAGTAGAAATGTGCGAAAGCAAATTCATTTCCTAGTGTCAGTGTTAAGTTCAGAGTTTAACAAATTGAATACGTTCCTAAAACGTACAAAATTTTCATAAACAGGGCACGATCTCTGTTGCTGTTAATGTGTAGCTAATATACCGGGTGTGTTCAATTGTTATACTCTCCACACACCACTGAGCACTGACTGACAATACTGAGGTGTTGGTTGTTGGCCCTTTGAAACTTTTCAATAGTCTTCTTAAAAAGGCCAAGGAAAGTCCAATTTTTGATTCCTCGACACCAGAAAATAGGCTCGAATCTGTGTTTATGGATATTGCATAACATAGGTCCTTAAAACCCGCACGTTTTGCGGAAGAAAATGCAACTTAAACAATTCGTCTTTTCCTTAAACTTCAATATGCAATAAAAATGAATTGATGCGTTTAATATGAGTAATATTCTTTATCACAAAAAGGTCCAGTCTTTTATTAATATTTTTTTTATTTATACACAACAAGATTGCCACTTTTCCTAAGTATTAAGAATAAAATTGAAATTTATGAAAGTGCAAGGATGTGTTAATCAAACCCACCAAAATTTTGTTTTAGTTTTAATATAACCTTTTAAATGAAATAAGATTTTTAATTAATTTTTGTGCGAAATGCTATTAAAATATACATGTATAAGTCGTACTATTATAGAGAAAATATTAATCACAAATCTGTGTCCAAGTACCTTTAAGCAACAATGTTACGAATTTTATTTAAGAATGGTGAGAGCTACGTAATTCGCAAATTATGCAATAGGCATGTAGATGAAATTTCTCTTTAATCCTTGCCAGTAAGAAAGCCATACACCACATATCAGAGTCAGTGTTTGTGGGACTGTGTCGTAAAGTGGGAACGTCACAAATGGTGGCTATGAAGAGAGATGTGGTTGACATCTTGGAGATGGTGGAATATTATGTGAAAACAAGTGATTACTACATTGTGATGTTAAGTGGAAGTTGCAGAGAAGGTTTCAGACTAAAAGAATCAGATATAGACAGTATGTTTTGGCCAAATAATTACCGTGTGATCTGGGACTTATCTCAGTCTCATTATTACAACACACAGAGACAAACACTGATCCTTTGTGACTGTTCTGATAGTCCACCAGGATTTACTTTGTTATATTTACTGTCACCAAGCATAAACAGGGGAATCCTGGAGGCGTGCATTAGAATGAAGAACAGTTGTTATATATCTAGTTCTAAATACAGACAGAAGATATGTTCCTTATCATCAAGTAACGAGACTGAACATGGACCCTGTGTCAGTGGAGCATATGGAACACTAGAATATGATAATGCCCACTGCCTTTCTTGTGACTTTTGGCCTCCATCTGCCTCCTCATGGATAGAAAGATGTCACTCATGGCCCCAGCCTCATATTGTTGATGATATAGTAAACAATGGTTGCCACTTTGTAGCAATTGGACATAAACTAGGACGTCATGAAGATCATGAATGGAGAATTTCCTTCTCTCTGGCAGAACAAAAACTAGTGTATGCAATGAACCACTGTCAATTCTTAACTTATTGCTTACTTAAATTGTTCTTAACAGAAATAATTAACAATGGACTAGATGAAGATGATAAACTACTGTGCTCATATCACATGAAGACAGTAGTTTTCTGGGTAATTCAACAAAATACTTTACCTCATTGGCGTCCACTAAATCTCCTGGGGTGTTTCTGGGTCTGTTTTAAACTTGTCCTTAAGTGGGTGTATGAGGGGGTCTGTCCTAACTTTTTCATTCCAGATAACAACATGTTTCTAAGTAAAATTCATGGTTACAAACAACGTCAATTGTTCATGAGACTGTACGGTTTGTATGAGAAGGGATTAGCATTCCTACTACAAATTCCCTCCATTAGGTCTTATATTATAAATGTCCTTCATAACCCTAAAGTCTCCATCTGTACAGATGAGCATACTCTGATTTCTGAGGCTGAGTTTGATGAAACCCTATATAATGAAATACACTGCTTTGATGTATTATACAAATCTGACATTCAAACTTGTATGAGATATCTACATACAATAGAACAGATGATAGGTTCACCTCTCCTGACACAGTACCAAGTTATTATGCTACAGATACTTACAGCTTCTCTCCTTAAAGATACTGCTTTAATATTACGCATGGAAACTTTCACATGTAAAAACAAACTGAAATATAGAGCTGATAAAATCTCCTGTCACATGCTGAAAGTAGCGGCCAAGTTTGGTTTCATTACTGACATGCTGTTCATAGCTATGTATTATTTCGAGACACGAAGATACAGGGATGCTTTATCTATTACAGAGATGATCAAGGGCAAGTTAGCACAGCCATATTTGATGTATGAGTCAAAAGTAGATACAAAGATGTACACTGAGGCTGTAGGGGGGCAGTCTTGGTGTACAAAGATGAGGAAAGCTGTGGCATGGGATATCCGACTATACAGTGGAATCCATTACATCAGTGAATTAGTATCAGAACAACAGTCTGCTCTTAGGAAGAAGAAGACTATATTATACATCCCATCCTTTATACTGTTATACATGCTGGAGGTTTTGTGCTACAGACATGTAGACACAATGAGAGTACAAACAGCTCTAGATGATCTACAGACCCTAGTGCACTATGATCAGGGACAGCTTATAGATTTACGACACAGAGACATATCGTGGCAGATTCTTGGGATCTGTCAACAGTTGACGGGGAACCACCAGACTGCCCTATACTAAAACCAACGATCTATAATAGAAATTCCGTACCAAACATGCAAACAGTTACGGAAATGAGATTACAGAGTATTTGTCAAATGATTTATAAAATCAGATAAATGTTAGGTTTTTGAAATAGTTCATAGAATTTGTAATCTCTATCAAGTATTTTTCGAAAAAGATGTAGGTGATTTTATGAAAATGAAACAGGGGGTTAAAATATAATCTTTCAAAAATATTCTTAGGATATACACTAGACAAGATTGATAACGCACCATCGATAAAAGTAGGCGTAATATTTTACTTTTCAAAACTTGTTTAAGATGTATTTGAAATATTTTGCATTTAAATGTCTTAATTGAGAAATAATAAAAAAGTTAACTGAAGTGTGACCATTTCATAGAAAACGTGAAAATCGTGTCCATACTAATTTGGAAGGATAAATTTCTTTTTTTTTCTGTGCATTTTTTAAAATGTTTTTTTTTTCTAATTAGAAAATCAGGAAAAAAATATACCGTATGCGGCATTTGATCCTGGGTGGGCGTGATAAAACAAGACAGTTGGTGTCTGCAGGGTGTTCCATTGACGAACGTCATCAAAACATTATCAGATCAGAAACACGTATTAAATCAGAACAATTCAAATGCATGTTTGGCTGTAGAATGAAATACTTGTTTAGACCGCATTGATGTGTTTTCTTTTGCAGTATAAACACTCTAAATTGCATAAAGTTGATGATGAATGTCGGTTTTTATAGCAAAGCGGGGCTATTTCACGGACCTCCCTACACATTAAACAACATGATTTTAGCAGTAAAACAAGAACATGATTTTGATATTGTATATTCATTTTAACTGATCAATACATATTAAGAACAAATTTGTAATTTAAAAAGGCTATTTTTAATGTAACGAAAGCTCAAATCGTCTGCATTCCATACACAGGTAAACAAACAAATTTTCCGTCTGGTATTAAATGGAACAGCGTAATCGAGACATGGTGACCTAATTCGTTTTTCTATAGAGGAAACGATTATCCGTAATTTAGCGATTGTAGTAGATATGGTAGAATAGAAATAAAGTCCTTGTTGTCGTGAATGATGCAGAATAACCTCCTCTGTCTCGAAATGTTGTTTGTAATATAAAAGTCTCGGCTAACGCCTCGGCTTTTATCTTTCAAGCAACATTTCTTGGCGTTTTATATATACTTATACCGTTTAGGCAAATGTTCAATTCATAAGGAAGACTTTTAAGTGGTGCGTTAGCAATTTTGTCTAGTGTATTAGTCTATTTTTATTTTGTCAAAATTGTTTTACAGTATTTAAAGGAGGAAGGTGTAAAATTAAATAATAAAAATACAAAGAATGGAATTTGAGTTGTTATTTAACATTGTTTAATGCAAATAGTAAAGTAACTAAAACTGATCTTGGAAGACCCATCCGCCTCATCGGACGCGTGAATTCTTGTAAATTTGGTAGGGAGAGTCATATTTGAAGGTGAAGATACCCTTTCTGTCATGTTTTTGATAGAGAGTGACTGCAACATTTATGTATCCAACAATGAGAAGCTGATGAACGCAAATGTGGTGGTAGAAGCGTACGGAGATAGTGATTTCTCCCATTAACTGTTTTTAAAGAAGTTTTTTTTATCGATCTTCTTTGTTAGGCTGGAAATAATGTCTCTCTGGTGGTGCCTCTAATTTGACTCCTCCATAATTACCAATGTTGGTAAAAATTGAAATCTTTGATAATATAAAGGGGAATAAGAAAGTGGAAGTTTCTGAGACTTCTTTTCCTGCATGGACAGGTAGTTTGGTGCCTTCTTTGATCTCCGTGTAAACAAAGATGGCAAGAATAATGAAGCCTAAGTTACTTTAGGTATTGTTTTTTCGAAATATCTGAGAATTAAAATTTCAAAGGGTTAGATCAAGTAGTTGGGATTTTTAATTCACTTCGACATACCCACGTTTTTCAAGATATCAGTGTTCGAGATACCGTATTCTATGTAATCTAACAAATATCTACAAAGAAATCTTTGCTTGGAATTTTACCCGAACCCATTCAAGTACACTCCAGAGCCTACATAAATGTTGAGTAAACCCTCAGGCTTGGATACAGTATGACTATACTTGTTACCTTCACTTTAGTAAAAATTCAGATTGGTAAGATGTACTCAAATAAAATAAATATACAATAATTTGTCTGGGTTAATTATCACGAGCACGATACCTGGGAAACCTAGGGATCAACAAAATCAGACTGGCTCGTATCAAATGTTTACTTTGAATTAACTACAAAGTCCCTCCAATAGGTAGGTTTTAAGTTTTAATGTTTCTGGGGATCTGTCAACAGGTGACAGGGAACTTCCAGGCTGCTCTATACTCATACCAACAATCCCTCAGACAAGAACCATATAACAATATACAAACATGCCGCTACAGAAATGAGAATACACGAAATAAATGCTGGGTGTTTGTGGTAGTTCATTGGTATCGTTTACAATTTAAATAATCTATATTACGTGTACATTTTATTTTCTGAAGAAGATATGAATTAAAAAAATGAAAAAGATTTGCTATTTATTAATAAGTTTTCAAAGGGGGAAACTATAACATTAGGGTAAATGCAATGGTTTTTATTTACTAAAAGAAGTTGCATTCCTTAATCATACAAATACCTGATACATTGTATGGAGTAATGTTTGGACATAAAAACGCATCATGTCTCATTATGTTGACAACGTTATAAGCTCTCGCTCATTGAACATACGAAGCTTGATAAAATGTATTGAGTTGTTTCTTTGAAATTTAGAAGCTAGCACAATGTTTGCAAAGAAAGGTCCATTGCATATGCTATGTCTATCTTCGCAACAAAAAAAAGTGACAGGCTACCCCCCCCCCCCCGAAAACCCTATGTTTGTTTTTCAAAATAGTGCCAAAGATTAAAAAAAATTGCATTACTAAGTATGTGATTGAACATGTACTAGCCTTATAAGACCACTTGTTACTTGGTTGCCCTCTCTCTCTCGATTTACTGCATAGAAATGTATGGCCCGACTCAATTTTTTTATATCCCATTACACAGTATTTTTTCTTTTTCTTCCGTCAACAAATATGTTTAAATTTTAAGGAATTTTTTTTCTCACCTATAAAAACGGACCCAATAATTTTTCCCTGAGTTGGGAGAACCACCAAACGGCAGATGGTATAAAATATCTAATTATGTTGATTGTTTTGTTTACTCTGTAAAATTGTAATTTTGACAATATGGGCAAATAGAAAAAAAGTTTATTTTATTCATTAAATCTCCTAACCCACTCTGAATGATATCATTCCTTTTCAAATGTTGCTCCGCTGTAATGAAAATTGTAGTTTATTTGACACAATATACGAGGGGTGATCAAAAAGTAAACGATATCTTAGGTATTTGATAGTTATACTACTGTTGAAATATTCAAGTATTTTTCAAAGTGTAAATTGGAGGTCTTTAATAGCATATTGCATAATTAAAAACACATCCCTTTTCAAACTTGCTTTCACCGGGCAACATAACATGTATCTTATTTAACCCTCTGCCTTCCTTCACTAAAACGATCTATCCAATCATTGATTTAAATTATAGGAAGTCATTAGTTTTAATAAACTGTGAACAAATTCTTATACGCTACTTTAAAGGCATTTTTAAGATTTACCATAAATATTATAGTCGTTTGTTGAACGAGTTCCACTGAGACAACCAGTTTTCGTCACAAGTACCTGCATAATGACGTCATTTTCACATTGTGACATCTCAAACAAGGAGCAAAACTTTATTCAGCATGTGCTATTTTAAGAACTTGTATATGCCTATGTGTTCACCAAATTTGTTTTTAATATGAATTGTGGTTTTGTAGATAAAGAGATCGCGAACTTTTTTGATCACCCCACGTACTAGTAGATACTACAACAAGGTCATTCATATCGATTAAAAAGTGTCTAATTTCTTTGTGTTTCATTGGTGATAATTAAAATTTTGATAGATAATATAAGTTATCTGTGGCAAACTTATTAACTCTTAATTCTTAACTTTAATGGTGCTCATTTTTCCTTACCTGGAATCAAAGAGTTTAAGATTTTTTTTTATCTCAATACATACACTATTTAACAACTGTTCGATAATAATACTAAATAAATTACTTCAAGCCACACTATAACACATTTCCTCTTTTAAAAGTGTTCATATTATTTGAAATATTTTGCAACTTTGCTTCTCTTCTACATTTAACGAGGCCGAGTCTAATTATTTCTGCCCTAGGGATTTTGATTATTTTTTGATAATTAATTTTTACTGTTATATTTATTGTTTTAGGATTAAAATATTTAATGTTTACCACCCCGTTTACTTAGTGGGCCATCTTAAATGTTGTCAAACTTTACTATTGGACCCTATGGGAATTTGTTGGAATATCGCCAAATTATTACATTTTTTCAATATTTTTTGTACTTCTGCCCTAGGGATTTCTTTTTCATTCAAGTAAATGAAAGTAAATGTAAAAATTCACAAAATTGTGAAATTTCAAAAACGTTCACCATCTCGATTGGTCTACGTCGAAGCCAAATTCCTCTAAAAATTGCAATTTTACGGTAAAAATACATATCTTTGGTGTCGTTGTTAGAGCGATTTCAACGTTCTTTTTCCAATAATTGTAGTAAAACCACATTTTCAGATCAGCAGGAGTTACAAATAATGTTAATTATGTATTAAAATGAAAATAATTAATGACTGCATGAAATTAAAAAGCTGCGCAAAGTGATGCGCACTCGAATTAGACTCGGGCTCGTTAAAGATTGTTATGTCCCTCCATATTAAGAAGAGGTCTTGAAAACAAAATTCCGTGCTAAAAATAAACCACGTGCTGCTATCCATGAACTACTTTCATGGTTCTTTACACTCTTTTTGAAGACGACGGTACCTTGTTTAGAACTTGAAATTATCATTTAAAAGTGCAAAATTTAAACATTTTCTCAACAAATGGTTGTAGAGA